TGTGAGCTATAGTGTCAAGGAACCTCCTATCGTCAACAACAACAAAAAAACAGTGATGCACAACACTCCATGATCACAGAGATTCAAAAAAAAAAAACTCCATGATCACGCTCATAATACTACTGTAGTCTGTTTAGATCATTTTCTTAATGACAAGTACATTGAAATCATTCTCTTTTCCTAATGGCTTTATTTTGAAGATCAGAGCAAGCAGTTGCAGTCTGCACGAATAATACTCAAACTGATAGGGTGTTGTTGGTAGGCAACGGAAAACGCACTATACAGTGCCGACTGCCGAGTGTCGACATTCTTTTCTCTCACATGATGTTTCACCAGCCAAGAGCACAAGTTCCCTCACAAGATGCGGGAAGTTCGATGAGAAGATTTATAAGAGTCAATAAGAGCACACCAGCAATCGTCATAAATCATTCAACGTCACAGTCTTGCTTCAAAAAAATTCAACGTCACAGCAAGTCTCCACCCTTCAAGTGACAACGCAAATACGCCAGCCGTAAGACTATAATATCTTTTTTTTTGCGGGGACACAAGAATATAGAATTTACCAGTTCCAACACATAAAAATTGAACAAACTGGCACAAAGTCGATCAAGCCAACAGGACGGCCAAATAAACATGGATTGAAGTCAGATCTAGACAAACTTGGAAAGGCGATCTGAGCAAATATGCACTGCTCAAGAGATATCCTGACAACTCGGTCATCCTCGGTGAAACAAACATGATCAAACCAGAATGGTGTAAAACAATTTTGGCTCCAGGTGAACTGAAACTGATTTTCATATATCGAAAGCCTTAACAGTAGACTGTGTTAAACTACTATTATTACATTACTATATCACAGTTTCAACAGACATGAAAATTGAGGTTCGAGTTGAACTGAAAATGTTGTTCATATATCAAAAGCATTAACAATAGGTCATGTTAAACCACTATTACCTTACTATATCACAGTTTCAGCAGACATGAAAATACAGCGAAGAGCTGAATCTAGAAATGCAACGGCAGTCTTGGCCATTCCAGGTCCACCCAAACAACAGGATAAGTTCTAATTCTAAACTAGATCTAGAGATTAAGAACAAGAATATAACTTTAAATGTACTGTCGAAAACACAGGTTGGTATACCAACAAATTATTTATAGAGAAATAAAGGAGACCAGAATCGAGATACTCAAATATTGAAAATAGTTCCAGCAAAACGGTCAAGTATCCATGATTAAGTACTAGGGTATTACAGCTGCATGGGCTACCAATAACTCCATAAACACAAGCAGACTACTAAGTTGACAGCAAGCAGCATAAGTCAGGTACATGACTTCACTCAAGCACCAATAGCTTATCACAACTTACCCAAATTACTGTTGCTCATATTCAAGATCTAACTTCGCTATCATCATCAGAAAGATGGACAATTGTGAGGCTCCAATACACGAGACAGTTAGTGTCCATCTGCCAATGACTCCGAGAACAAAGGAACATATGGAAGATATGGGCACCTGGAAGTCCATCCAAGATCACATATGAAACGCAGCTCCTTAGAATCAATTTTGTATGAAAATAATTTCATCTGTAATCGGTACCCCGGTAATGTAGTTTCGACAGTTATGAATAGCACATCGTCCTCTGGGTGGGCTGAGATAACACCGTAATATTCCTTACTGCTTGAACCGAACAGTTGCAAGTAGCTGGCATTGTGCTTCAAGGTCCAATAATCTTCACTACAAGAATCTTCAAGGACCCAGATTGATACTTCAGCAGCACCATAATTTGCGACATACAATTGTCCACGTGATGCATAAATATAAGGACCACAGCGAGCATCATTTAAAGTAGGAACAGGAATGAAACGACAGTTTCCCTCCACGTCGATGGCTGCAACCAAATTATTATAGGAACATAAATACAACACCCCACTGAGAAATGTGCCACCTGAAAAGTTGCGTATCTCAATTGGATCGTCCCACTCAATTTGATGTGTCCAGCCTCCAGCTTTGGACGAGTAGATCCCCACCTCTTCGATGTTATATTCATACTTCAAATTCCAATTTAAAGCCACAGCAGGTACCAACTCGAACACATAGAAATGGGAGGAGACGGCCGGATCAAATCCCAGGCGAGCATACGATTCCGAGGACCATTCATTGGCAGGGAAGGTTACCCATTTCTCAGTGGCAGGATTGCACACCAGGTAATCCGGTTCCTCAGGATAAGGCTTGGAACATCGACAGAGGAGGAGGCCGTTGCAGCAGTCCAACAAGTCAATCTTCTCGCATTTTGGCAGGAATGAGAGGGAGGCGTCAATGGGGCACCAGTTCCCTGAGACGCTTAGGTAACCATGAGAATCAGGTGGACGGCGTTTTAGGTCGTAGATTTTGTAGAAGAAGCCGGCGAGGGTCAACTGGGGAAGCTTCTCGCGGTGGTCGGGGTGGGCGATGAGGTCCCGCCAGCGCGTGGAGACGCACTTGCAGCAGCGGGTGGACTTGTACGGCACGCGCGAGATGATCTCCACCAGGATGTCGTCGGGGAGCTTGGCCGTCGGATCGCTCATGAGGGCCGTCTCCATAGACCCCGTCGCCATCTCCAGGGAGGCAACGGGCGGCTAATCTGCAGATCGGCGCGGGGGAGGAAAGGTTAGAGAGATACGTCCGGCTAACAGCGAAGGAAGAGAGGACCTACCAGATATGTCGCGCGCGAACAGCGAAGAGAGGAGCGGCGAGAGCGCCGGCGTTGAGTGCTCCCATCCGCGCCGGCGAGTGGGTGGCGGCGAGCCGGTGAGGGTTTGGTTTCGGTGCGGAGCAGCGAGATGGATGGATGGATGCTGCGGAAGGGGAACGGAAGGATGGCCGCGTGCAGTTAACTGGGCTTTTTACTGGGCCGTGTGAGTCGCACTATTACCGCACCATTTTGCAATCCCTCAAAAAAAAAACATACACAATTTTGAAGTCTTAATACAAAAAAAAAGTCCTATAAAAAATACAAAAAAAAGTAGATCGAGGAGTGGGGATCCGTCCCTTAATTATTATTTTTAATTCTCGTATATCCTTGTTTTTTTTGCATAGGTTTTGGTCACCTGGCAGCATCGGCGAGGTAGTGGCAGAATCTACCTTGACAACTTCTGATCCGGTGGCGACGAAGGGCACGTATGGATTTGTGTTGCCTATTTGTTAGTTCTTTTCAGATCTGGATAATCTACTACTCCCTCCGTTCCAAAATAGATGACCCAACTTTGTACTAAAGTTAGTACAAAGTTGAGTCATCTATTTTGTAACGGAGGGAGTATGTGTTAATCAAGGGAAGTCATTGGCTGGCTCTCGGTGCAGAGACTTGGACCTCTTTCTTTGTTTTGATTCGCAGCATGCTCTTGATAGGTTCACCAATCCTCTGGACTGGTGGTGAAACATTGCAAGCTTGCACTGCATGCGGCAAGACACCAGCCAATGTTCTTTTAGCAGTTCTTAGATCTTGCTTCTAGCCCAAATAATTATCAGTAAGATATCCTGAGGTAATGACAAATCTGAGGTGGAGCAGACAATAAAAAGTTGTCATGTAGATAAATCTGCAAATTATGTGCTCGAGATTACCATATCTGATCCTTAGCGATAGGTCAAGTTAAACTTCTATTTACATTAACTAGAAAGAATGCCACAGCTTGAGCAGAAATGATGAAAAAAATCAGAGCCAAAACTGAAGAACGAAGGGTACCCTGATCCTTGGAGGCTCTAGAAACTGAAGCCACCACTGCCGTCGTACCCTGACGATGAGTTGGAGATCACCGAGCAGCCCAGTCCCGGAGCCATCGCATTCCCGTGCCGCACATTTCAGGTAAAGAAGGTAATCTACATCCTACACAAACTTGTGTACTACTGGGAGTGTATCCAACAGCCTGCGTCTCTGCTAACTGTCATGTACATGAGGCTAATTTGCTTCTTGTACTTCGCCTGGTAAAGAATTTTCATTTCTCCACTGTTTTTTTTTTTTGCAGGATTTCATTTCTCCACTGCTGATGAAACTGCCGACACAAACATAACTTTGTCATCTTAGTCGAGAGATGTCCTGGCAACTTTGCCATCCTGATGCACCATGCCAACCCCACTATGCATGAACATATGCAGGTCAAATTGTCCACCATTATCCAATCTGAACTTCTTCCAGATAGATGTCACTTGACAGACAATCAGAAGCCCGAGGCGGAGCAAATAATAACAAGCTTCTCTGTTGATAAATCTGCTAGTTATGTAGATCATAAAATTCCTACCAAGAACAGGGCGAAGTTACAATTCTTAGGAGTGCCCCCATGACTGAACCAACTGAACGGGCAACTCAACTTCTATATATTAGAAACTGCAGCTGGAGAACCACGCTTCAAAGCCGGTGAAGGCGACAGAAAGATAATCGAACCAGAAGGGTGAAAAATCACTTGTGCTTCACGTTAAACTGAAACGGCAGTTCATCTACCGGAAAGCCTTAGCAATAGATCGTGTTAAGCTACTGCTATCACATTACCATATATCACAGTTTAAGCACATGAAAATAAAAAACAAAGACTGAATGACAAACAGAACGCCCTAGTAATGCAACAGCACTTCCAGGTCCACCCAAACAGAAAAATCTTAGGCTCTAGGGTAGAGCTAGAGGTTAATAACAAGGAAATAACCTATAGCGCACCAAAAAGTTGGTGCACAGATAAAATTATCCACAAACAGATAAATAAGCAGAGACAATAATGTAGACATCAATACTCATAATAATACCAACAAGACGATCAATTATCCTTAGTTTAGTAGTAGGGTATTGCAGCTGCTAACATATATGACCAAACAGAGTATTAATTAAGTTTACTGAATAGCTAGCCTCATAAAGTCTGGTACATGAGTCCACACTTACAAAGGTCTACCCAAATCACCGTTGTTCTTCTCGTACTCACGATGTAACACTAGTATCATCAGAAAGATAGACAATTGTGAGGCTCCAATACACAGGACATTTAGTGCCCATCTGCTAATGACTCCGAGAACAAAGGAACATATGAAAGATAAGCCCGCCCGACATACCAGCCAAGATCAGATACGAAACACAGCTCCCTAGAATCCACGTCGTATGAAAATAACTTCACAAGCTCTTGGAACCCCGACCTCAGTCCTATGGTTACGAATGCCATATTGTGTTCTGGGTGCGCTGAGATAACACCATAATATGGCATGCGGCTTGAATACCCTTCTCCAAACAGTTGCAAGTAGCTAACATTGAGCTTCAAGGTCCAACAATCTTCACTACTAGAGTCTTCAAGAACCCAGATTGATAGTTCAGAAGCACCCCTATTTGTGAGATACAATTGTCCCCGTGATACATAGACATTAGGAACAATAGGAGCATCATGAGAAGTAGGAAGAGGAATGATCCTACAATTTCCCTCCACATCGACGGCTGCAACTGAATTATTATCAGAAGGTAAATACAACACCCCGCTGAGAAATGTGCCACCTGAAAAGTAGAGTATCTCAATTGGATCGTCCCAAGCAATTTGATGTGTCCAACCTCCAGCTTTGGAAGAGTAGATCCCCACCTCTTCGATCCTATAATCATGTCCACCTTTGAATTGATAGGTACCAACTCAAACACATGGAAATGGGAGGAGACGGCAGTGTCGAATCCCAGGCGAGCAAACGACACAATCCGGTTGGCAGGGAAGGTTACCCATTTCTCAGTGGCAGGATTGCACACCACATAATCCGGTTTCTCGGCATAAGGCTGCGAACATAGACAGAGGAGGAGGCCGTTGCAGCAGTCCAAGATATCAAGCTCCTCGTATTCAGGTAGCAACGAGAGGGAATCGTCAAAAGGGCACCAATCCCCCGAGACGCTGTGGTAAACATCATGAAAACGTGGATCGCAGTCCATGCCGCGGTTTTTGCAGAAGAAGCCGGCGAGGGTCGACCGGGGAAGCTTGTCGCGGTGGTCGGGGTGGGAGATGAGGTCCCGCCAGCGCGTGGAGACGCACTTGCAGCAGCGGGTGGACTTGAACGGCACGCGCGAGATGATCTCGACCAGGAGGTCGTCGGGGAGCTTGATCGTTGGATCGCTCATGATGGCCGTCTCCATGGATCCCGTCGCCATCTCCGGGGAGGCAACGAGCCGCTAATCTGCAGATCGGTGCGGGGGAGGGGAGGTTAGAGCACTAGCTAGCCGTGAGAGGGGCGTGAGGGAAGAGAGGACCTACCAGATGCGTGGAGCGCCGGCGCCGGGTGCTCCCGTCCGCGCCGGTTAGTGGGTTGCGGCAAGCCTGCGAGGGTTTGGTCTGGGTACGCGGCGCCGGCAGCGAGATGAATACAGGAAGTAGGACAACATTTATCTGGGCTTTTCACTGGGCCTTGTTAGCACATTTCGAGAAAGGAAAAGGGCATTTCGCTATCAGTCAGTACTTGATTCTCGAAAGAAAACTCTTGTAAAAAGCAGATTCTCGAAAGAAAACAGTCACTTTGTTTCTCAAAAAAAAAATCTGTCAATACTTTTTTTTTTTGAGAGAGAGGGGATACTCCCCCTGTCTTATTCTTATAGGAGGTGAGAAGATTCGAACCCGAGTTGGGTTAAATTATGGAATGCCAACCGTCACATCTAGGCTACGCAAAACATCACAATCTTCCTCCATTTTTTTATTCTCCAAGACAGAGCCAGAGTTGTTTTTCTTTTTTGCAGAAGCAGAGTTTGTTGTGGAGTACACTTCATATCTAGCAACTATCTAGACTACACTTTATATCAACCAATTTATACTCCAGCAACTACCCAGACTACACTTTATGTTCCAGCACCGGACGCACAATCATATTAACTGTATTTTTTACATTTATAGTGCAGTGTCGATTAGCTTCAGTAATGTACACTCAGTTGTACAATAGCAATGACAGGTTAAGCAAGAAGAATTACGCACACGGGGCAGCCCGGGAGTAATTTGCTTGGAGCTTGAGTTTGCCTAGCTATATCTGCAAATCACAAATAATGGGACGAACAAGAACTTGTTTGGTTAATCGGAGTTCAGTTGGTTCCCTGATAGGAAATTGATGTAAGTGGAAACGGACCCCTGCACACGAGCAGGACGGAGAGGGACTTGCAGACCTAGGAGATGGCGAGGGTGCGGCTGATGGGGAAGAGAAAGGGCACGTTGCCGGTGAGGATGAGGCACGCGCAGTCGAGCCGGTGCAGCTCCGGTCGCCTGTCCTCTCCCACGCCTGCAGGTATTTAGCCGGCATCGCCTCCTTCCTCTTTGTTGGGGTCTAGCCGAACCCTAGCTGGCCCTAGCTCACCCTCTCTCTCGTCGTCTCTCTGGTACGAACCGAGAAAGAAGAAAGGAGGGACACAAGATATTTTTGGGCGACGAACGGCAATTTTCCTTTAAGCACAAACTCAGCCCACAGCCATTACAACGGACACAGAAGAGGCTTTATACCCCGGAGCCATGCCAGGGCACACAACTCACGTTTCCACCCACTCACGCGCTCTGGCCGCGCCCACAACGCGCACGTACACACCCAGGTCGTGGTGAGCCCGCAATGGAACAACGCGGCCACCCCTCCTCGTTCGCCAACGACCTAGCCCTACATCTGCGCGTCGGGTGCACACACACACGTACACCCGCGCACACACACGCACGCGCACGCGCGCGCGCGCGCACACACACACACTCAGATTCTACCTAGACACTATCTAGACACGCCCCATACATGTCCCAGATAATGGTCAGATAATGTCCAGACAATGCACCTGTCCGGCACGGAATCGATCTGGGCACGCTCATGCCGGTAGCCATCGTCGCGACATGGCTTATATCCAACAATCACCCGTAAGCCATGACTACAAGAGGGTCAACCCGACGTCGTCAACATCGGCGGAGTGCCTTCTCCTCGTCCTCCGCCTTCTTCGGCTTCCGGGGCGCCGAATGCTCGTCGTTGCCGGAGTTGACGCCGCTGCTCCCATCATCGTCGCCGCCATGGCTGCGGACTTGACCTGGCGTGCTGACGCCGGTCGCTATCGTGCCTGCTTCTTCCTCTCCGACGACATACGCCACTTCTCCGGTGACACACGCCATTGAGCGCAACGCACCCAGCGGGACCGATACACGATCCACTGCTGCAGCGCCAGCACTGGTGACCACGCACAGGCCGACACATGGCCCGACGACCTCGCCACACCGCGGCCACTCAACACCGTCACGTCACCGGCCACCACCAGTGCGCCTCCGGCGAGAGGAGCGAACCCATGATGAACCAGCTCTGATACCAATTGTTGGGGTCCAGCAGAACCCTAGC